ATATGCACTGGAAAAATCTGCATTTCAAGCGATTAATTCAATCTTATTGATGTACTACTCAATAAAACATTACATTTATGCATTTATTAAACGCTTTTTACTAGGGCTGCCCCCTAATAGTCGACTAATCGTTAGTCGACCAGAAGAGGCTAGGTCGACCAACATTTTATTAGGCGTTTAGTCACAGAAAAAAACAATAATAATGTTTTTAAAAATCCACGGGTGAAGTCATGCAGTCTGTGACGGACAGATCGTTAACGGCTAGTCTATGGTAATACAGTACATCGTAGTGTAGCGCACAGACTTTATAATCATTGTGAAATTGCTGTTTACTTTGCTGCACGGCAGTTCTAGGGTTAATGCGGGAGAGACGAGCGAGTTTGTTGTTAGCTGTTGTTAGCTGTTGTAGTCGACTAATCGTTAGTCGACCAGAAGAGGCTAGGTCGACCAACATTTTATTAGGCGTTTAGTCACAGAAAAAAACAATAATAATGTTTTTAAAAATCCACGGGTGAAGTCATGCAGTCTGTGACGGACAGATCGTTAACGGCTAGTCTATGGTAATACAGTACATCGATGGGCAGGACATCCAAAAGCCCGAAATATGTAAGTATTAGCAACTTACATGGCCGCTCAATCTAATATTAACCTAGAGAAATGTCCGCTATTCAAGTGTCTGTGTGGAAGCTGAACATTAGTGCTCACTGCAGGACAGATGGAGGCGCTGGTGCGCTCACTTGCTCTTAAAGAGCAGGTCATATGGGTTTTTGAAAAATATCTATTTTGCAGTTTATAACGTAGCTATCCTTAAATGAAACAATCTGCAAAGTTGTTAATCTAAAACATTACAGTAGACATCTTTTGGTTTAAATACTGTATTGTTTCATCAGTTAGTCACGTTAGCACTCGGCTAACGTATCCACCATTATTGTTTCAAGTGTTTACAGTTTAGCAGCTAAACTTTAGCTGTGGGCACGATTCGCTTGCATAAGTGTTTTGTTTTTTATGTCATTATTATTAGAACGGATTAGAGCACTATATTATTGTTTTATGCAAAGGTGCTTTGTCAATGGTAGCACTCGCTAACTTGCTCAAGGACTCCTCTCTGTGCCAATCACAACAGGCTTGGCCAGCTGACCAATCAGAGCAGAGTAGGCTTATGGAAGGGAGGGGTTTGCGCCGAACTTGCTTGGAACAAACCGTTTAGAAATCATTGGCAAATGACTCTAATATTAAATGTATATACTGATTTAATTACAATGTTTTCTGACATTATATGCATTTAAACCTGTTGTAGGGGACTCCAACACAATATTAGAACACTTTAAAATACCATATGACCTGCTCTTTTTGCTTGGAACGAATCGTTTCGAAATCATTGGCAAATGATTCTAATATTAAATGTATGTTCTGAGAAAATTACAATGTTTTCTGACCTTAGATGCATTTAAACCTGTTGTAGGGGACTCCAACACACTATTAAGACACTTTAAAATACCATATGACCTGCTCTTTAAAATAATCCCTAATTTTTGGTCATTCAGATAAGATAAATATATCTTTCGAATCTGTAAAGACTTTACGTTTATTTGTGTGCACTCACAATACCGCGCTTTTGTAAAATAACGAGTGAAATGTATACTTTCAAATGAACCAATTCAAATGGAAAACACATTCTCAGATTCCGTATGAAACATGAATACAGTCGCATCCTCTACTGCAGAGTCAGTGTCGGCGACTTCATCTCTTAATCCAAAAACAAAGAAAGCAATAGTTTATCAAATTATTAAAATGATAATGCAGTCTCCTTACTGTTTTTCCCTGACACATTCACAACCATTACTTCTGCCGGTGCGCTGTGACAAGCTTTACTTGAGCGCTTATTAGGCTATGTATGCAATTAAAGGCTCATTATAATGATTTAAATGTTTTTTTAATAAACGTGCGATTAGTCGACTAATGCTTCAAATGAACGACTACTAGTCGACCAGAACAATACTTAATTGAGGGCAGCCCTACTTTTTACCCAAAGTGACTTGCATTGCATTCAAGGTGCACATTTGACATTTGATCAGTTCTTGCTCTCCCTAGGAATCAAACCAACGACCTTGGCATTTCTGGAACCATGCTCTACTGTTTGAGCTACTGGAAAGCATAATACTAATTAATACAAGTACTTAATATTAGCATGCATCACATAATGGACTTTGAAGTACCATATATTTATATATGGTACTGTCACTGTACCAAAATATGTTTGTTGGTGATGGGAAGTGTCAAAAAGTTTCTATTGCGCTTATCACCAAAAACGATCAGGATAACATCAGAATAACTATATTAGCGCCCACATCAATGGACTGTAAAGTTCTGTGTTATTATAAGCACACACCGCAGTTGTTTTCTACTGCTTTAAATGCTCCAGCACAATTGGGTCAGGTGGCCTTAACTATTATGTATTTCAAGGCTGCAGCAAACGATTATTTTGATAATCGATTAATCTAACGATTAATTGACTAATCGTTGATTATTTCACTGATTAATCAATACACTTTAAATGATTATTCAGCTTTTGCAGTTGGTTAAAATATTGATTTATACATATTCTAACAAATAAATAAAGGTAATCACTTCAGCTTTTGAAAATCATATTATGTAATTACAATAATTATACAATTAACTTATACAAATAAATATATTTGGCACACAAAATGAGATGACAAAGATGACACTCTCAAATGAAAAAGTAACTGACACATCATTCTGCCGAACATCTCCTTTTGTAAGTCACATGGATAAGAAACAAAATAAAGGTAAGTGATAAGACATTTTATTTTTTGATAAACAGGCTTATTCACAACATAATCTCTCTTAAAATACCTTATAGGATTATGATAATCAAAACAGTCCTGAGCTAGATCTCTGCAAACCAAACTATCACTTTAATGATATATATATATATATATAGATAGATAGATAGATATATACACTATAACAGAAAATCAAGTTGTAATTCTAACTGAAAGCAACACTGACACACTGTTTTGTCATGTTTAATATTGTAAAGCTGCTTGATTTAATGCTATCTATTGCATGAAGCACTATATAAATAAACGAGACATGACTGGACTTTACTGGAGTACCGAACTGCAGAGCTGGTGCAAACATCCACATCGCTGTAATCAGATGCTTTTTAAAATCTCACACATTTTTGCTCACTCAGTGTATTTTTGATTTTACAGTGGGGTAATT